GGTGAGCAGCAGCCCCATCTATCAGCTCAGAACAGAAATCTGTGGCAGTCTGGACACATAGACTGAGGTTCCAGCAGAGAGGAAGGAAAAACTTCTGTGCCCAAAGCTGGAAGAGGTGATGGTTATTTACAACATTCTTTAACAACTGAATCTTCTCCAAAACCCTACAGATATCAGAGCATGAACATTCAACAGTTAAGTGGAAAATGGAACACTCTGTTTCATGCCCTGCATTGTGGTTATGTTTGTGTACTAGAATTAAACAGAGAGATACTTGATTGTTCCTGGGTATTTTTGTTTGTCAGATTGACTTTGAGTATTATCATCACCTTCATGAGACTATCAAAATAAGTAGCAATCAGGATGATAGAATAAAGCTGTGTAACATTGTTAATTGATAAGGATCTGTTGCTTTAATAACTACTAATGTCCTCTACTGACAATTATAAAGTTTTAAGTAGAAAATGTAACATTTTAATAACGGTGCTAAGAAATGATGAAACTTTTTAACTGATACAACCTAATAGGTAAGTCTATTCCAGTTTAACTAGAATATCTAGTGTAGATTCAGACAGTATGGAACATATATATATATATGTATATATACATATGACATTTACTCTGAGCCATTGGGAATTATTCCTCTAGTGAGTGACAATAATGTAAGCTCACTGTCAGAACATGGAGCCTGCACAAATGTATTTAGGTAAAGAACTTGCCAAATGAATCATTGTAAATTCCAAAAGCATTATTTCTTTGGCTGTAACTGTTTTTCTCTATTACTGGAGAGGAAAAAAAAAAAAAAAAAACAACCAAAAACAAAAACAAAAAAACCTCAGTTTTCCAGATAATATGTAAAAATCATTAAGATATATAAGTAATCTTTAATTATTCTGAACCAGGTCCTTATTAATTCACAAATAACTTTTTTTCATTTCAGCTATTTGCTAATCTACAAACCCAGACTACAAGCCTCTTATTTGCCTGGCAGCATCTTGTAAAACACCTAGAATGCTCCTAAATTTATCTGACTGCACCATTCCTATTATGTTTTGATGTAAATTATACCACTGACTATGTTAACAAAAAGCAATTCAAAGATATTTGATTTTCTTGTTCTTTCCCCGTCAATATAGAAAATGATATGACTGAGCTGGGGAGAAAGCTGTATTGAGTAATTTTTTTTTCCTTTATTGTGCATCTCCAAAAATACCACAAACTTGTTTTATTTGTATAGCCAGGGAGATAGGCAGACAGCAAGGAGTGAAAATTAAACACAAATCTTGTTTAAGACAGCTCAGTGTAGCTCTAGAAATGCAAACTATATATATATATATAAAAATATATATATATGATGAATTATTCTTCTGGAGCTTCAAACAATATCAAATCCCTATTGCAACAAGCAGAAAAAACAATGCATTAAGCAAAACTGAAATTCAGGTGTGAAAACCACTCAGCTGAAGTATAACTACCATTAATGATGCATAAATCACTTCAAAGTGTCTTTAAACTTTTTTGTATTTTATTTTTAAGTTTTCACTATAAATGGTAAATGCAGAAAAAAAAAAAAAAAAAAAGTTATTTTTGTGAATATACTCAAAGACCACGAGAGGTCTCTATAAGAAAAAGAATGTAAAAATGTGATGTTAAAAATATTCTCCCTAAACCTACCAGAAACAAAGAGTTAAACAGAAAACTACTGAACAGTTTAAATAGCTATGAAAACTAAAGCCATGTGGAAAAGTGAAATATTAATACAGGTTAAACAAATCTTGTTGACAGTGTCAACCATGTTTATTAATGCCATCAAAATCAAGATTTCAATTCAGATTCTACTTCATGTTGCAGTTTGCAAATGTATTCATGACAAGCATTCAAGAAAAGGAACATGTGTAGTAGTCTGTTCTTCACATTATACAATAAATTATTTCACCACAAAATAATCATTGTTTTGAAATGAATTCAGATTAATGATAACCATATTAGTGATTTGGTTACTTTTTTGAAACAGTTTAAGGCCAGAGTTGAAGCGGTACAAACCCACTATTGTAGATACGGTAATTATGGCAAGATACTATGTATCAGTGAAACTTATTTCTCTAAGGGAAGAAACAAAGTTACCCAGAGCAAGAGTGGACAACATGCCCGGTCTAAACATAGTACAGCAGCTGAAAAGCCCTGATAAAGCAACCTTTATTAGGCCAAGCAGAAAAATTTATCTTGCTTCTGTTGAACCTACCTATCAGATTCAAAAAAGAAGTATCCAGGAGGACTATTAAATCTTCCCACAAAGCTGGAGCCTTTGACACCTTGTATGTGAACATGTCTTTTTAATTTCCAGTGCTTCATGGATTGCTGACCTCCCAACAGTATTCTCTGTGCTTTTTGCTGCTGCTGCAGCTTTTTATTCTTTTTTTTTGTTTGTTTGTTTGTTTTTTTCATCCCTCCTGCTCAGTTTATTTTCCAAGTCATTCCTTTTCTTGTCTAGTTTTCTTTCTTACACTGAGTTCCAACGTGTTAGGTAAAATACAAACAGTACTTTATTAATCCTATCTTCATTTTTTTTTTTTTTTTAATGACATGTTCACAGTAGATATAATAAACAGAAGAAAACCTTGAATTTTCTCTAGAAAACACCTATCATTATCCTATTTCTTTTGCGTTTTGTGTGCTTTTCCCATGTTGCTTTGTCACTTGCCTTCAGTGCAAGACCTTTAATATGCATAACACATTTTAGTGAACAAACCTGCACTATAGATTGCACAAGTAGATATAGTGCAGCGTTGTGTCTATGGGTATAATAAATTTATTTACAAAGAAGAAAATATAGTGACTCCTTAAATCTTAAAACAATTTAGGTCTAGAACAGCATAGCTGATCGCCTAAGACAAAATTTAGCTCTCAGATGCAAAAGTCAGAGAAATGACATTCTGTTACTTGCAGAGAGAATAAACTTCAAAGATGACAAATAGGATTTAAGGATGTGCAAACAGTTTTCATCAACGCTATACCAAACTATACAAAGTGTTTTTCTCAGTGAAACTGTGAACTGTCTGAATAAAAGAATAGGATTATACAAACTTAAAGTTATCTAAGTTATCTGGCTAGTCCCACTTTCTTCTGTATGGATTTTTTTTTTTTTTTTTTTCCTAAAGGATTGGTGAGATAAAATGTTTTCATTGTCTCAGTCTAGACACCAGCTAGATTAGGATCAAGACAGATGTCAGTTCTCATCTGGTCAGGCATACTCAGTCAGTGCTTAGCTAATGCCAGTATACAAAAAGTGAAATGCTGTGGAACAGAGATTCTATGCGTTATGTGAATAGTTCTCAGATTATTCATTATGGATGTTAGCAACTCATTAGTTGTTCCACTACCTTCACAAAAATAAAATATGGAACAGTCTTATTAAGGTGCATAATGCTGCGTAATTTTTCAGACAAATCGAGTAGGAAAAAGATAAATCTATTACAGGCCAGAGTCAGATAACTTGAATTTTAATGTGAGCTGTGACATATGTTCTCAGGTCTTGACCTATTTCTCTGCCAATAAACCACTGACCCAGAAACTGGCCTAACCAAAGGGCTGGACAATTCTGCAGATCATTTGATAAGTCCAATATGCTAAGCACAGAAACTACTAGATCAAATAGAGACACTGAATACCCAGTTTGTTTTTAGGCTAGCGACAGAGTACATGTATTTCTGTATGTAGCTTGCTGACACATGCAGAAGCCCAGAAGTGAGGCAACTGGAATGTTTATCCCTTGCCTGTAGATTAGACAAAGTGATTTGAAGACTAAAGTCAGAAGAACTGAATTCTCACTGGAAACAGTCTATCCTTCTCCTCAAAATGTCAAACATTGGCTTGTACAGATTAGGGAAGTAACTCCAAAATGGAGGAGAAAGGAAAAACTGAAAAAGAACAGATATCAGAATCCCAGCGTGACTGAGGCAGGCAGGGCCCTCTGGGTCTTCCAGTCCCAGCCCTGTTGCAGCAGCGCCACCGAGAGCAGGGTGCCCAGGCCCACAGCCAGGTGGCTTCTGGAGACCTCCAAGGAGGAAAGCCCACAGCCTCTGGGCAGCCTGTGCAAAGTGCTCCATCACCTGCACAGTGCAGAAGTGCTGCCTGCTGTTCAGAGGGAACATCCTGTGCTCCAGTTTATACCAACGGCTCTTGTGCTGGCACTGGGAACCACTAAGAAGAGGCTGGCTGTCCTCTATAAACCTACAGGTGTTTGGATGTAGTAATAAGATTCCCCAATATGTTTCTAAATAAGGCAAAACACTTCCAGATGAAAAACTTGCTTTCAAATGCTTTTTTTTTTTTTTTTTTTTTTTTTTTTCTTTCTTTCTTTCCGAAGAGGTTTTTTAGCTGGGTTAGTTGCTTTTCCAGGATCTGCAAATCTGCACTGACAGCAAGCCAGCAGAGGATGGGAAAAGAGGAGAATGATAAAATTGATATTAGAATGAGCCTGTGTTTTTCATAAACGTGATGGAGGGTTGCTGACATAACAGTAAGTATGGAATTCTACCTATCAAAGACCTCTGGATGATACAGATATGTTGAAATTCACATTTCAAGGAAGATGCTCAATCAGAGCATCTGGAGGCTGCTGGGACATCACGGTGCCCGGTTTGTTCAGAAGGCTCTGCTGAGTCCTGTCCAGCTAGGCAGTGAACGTCCTCACAAACAGGCAAAAGCTTTCCACCTGCGACTGAAGGCAGAAACCTGGAGACGTCTACAAGACCGGGAGGAGCCCTAGCCCTTTGTGTTCCCATAGGAGCTACTGGAACGCGGCGGCTTCCTCGGGAAAAGTAGGAACGCGCTCTACCGAGGCAGCGGGCTCACACCAAGTTGCACCCAGCCTCACACCAGGATTTAATGATTCCCTCTTCTTCTTCCGCCTCCCAGGGGCAGCTCTCCAGAGCCCTGAAAGACACAGAGATGCAGAATCAGCCACCCCGGGCCGCCCGTTACCCCCACGGCAGACTGCGCCGTGCTGCCCGCCCATGCGCAGTGAGGGAAGATCGGCACGGCGCCGTGCCGTTTCCCCTTCCGGCCGTGCCCGGTCTCCTGTCAACATGGCAGCGCTGGGCGAGTGGCGGCGGTGTCTGTGGGCGGCAGGTAACAGCCGTGCGGGATGCGCCCGGTGCGGGGACAGGAGAAGAGCGGCGGGCCCTGGGGCCGGGAGAAGGGCTGGGGAGCGGCAGGCAGTGCCGCGGCATGAGGAGGCGGCGAGGGGTGGTGCGGGCACGGGGAGCTGCGGTATGGGTGAGGGGAAGTAAGGGCTGGGAGGGGAGCCCGGGTCGCGCGAAGGACTCCGAGCGAGCACCCACAGTCCGGACGGGGGTCACTGACGGTTCTTCTCACCCAGCAGTGGTTGCGCTGGCGTTGGCATCAGAGGCGGCTTTTGTGGAAGATCTGGATGAATCGTAAGTACTGTGTGTGACTTGCAATGTTAATTAAAAATCACGCTGTTTTTAGTGTCAGAACAAGGGAAGGGGGGTGGCGGGAGGGGTGGTGGTGGTTGTTCCCAGGCCAGCAGCTCTGTGCAGTGTAAGGCTGTCCAGAACGTTACTCAGGAAAAGTAATCTCCTCTGAGAAGGAACGGTAGAAATTCTGGGGCTTGTATTTATCAGGCGCTATCAACTAAGCTGGAGAGTGTTTTATTTCTGTGGTTTTGTTTTGAGCTGTTTTCACAAGCGCTGTTCTCAAAAGCGTTCTCTGATTTTATTCTTCTTTCTCTTTTTTGGTGGAATAAAGACATTGGTGGGCTGGTAGCCACCCTGAGTTAAAGCTGGTTGTGTTCAGCTAAATTCTTCATTTTCCTCTGCTGCATAACTGCAACAAGAAGTTGGGAGAGAAAGTGCATTGATGCATGGCCAGAAAAGGAAGAGGAATAAGGCAGGCTTGCTGGACTGGTTCATGACTGGTTTGTGGAGTGCTGCTTATGTTCCTGGGCAAAGATATGCTTTTACAGCAAGTTTAGCCTTAGTTCCGTGGCGGTGTTGAAATGCATAGTCCTGCCCTAATCTTAGCTACGTACTACCTTTACTTGCCTTACTGTGGTAGTTCTGTGGCAGTGTACTCAGAGGCAGTGGAGTCACTGTCCCTGGAGGCGTTCAAGAAACATGTGGATGTGGCACTGAGGGACATGGTTAGTAGGCATGGTATCAGTGGGCTGATAGTTGGACTAGTCAATCTTAGAGATCTTTTTCAACCTGCTTGTAGTTGTCTCTAAAAACTAACTTTCTACAAGTAGATGTAACTTTTTTTTGTTAGATCCACAAGTTGATCTGAACTGCTATAAGGCAGCACAATTATTAGAATTGAAATAGAAAGTATAGAAAATTTTTCTTGAGAAGACTAGGAGGAAGAGAATGTATTAGATAGCTATTTCATGATCAGTTTAAGTTAGTCACAGATTGTGCGTTTATTAGGGTTCAGTGCATGATGGTTTCCTTCCTGTAGTTGAGCAATCAGAAAGCTACTATTTTTTTTTAAACGTACGGCTAATTCATATGGAGCAGTTAATCATGGGATCAAATGAGTGTAGTGAAGTAATGGGGTAGGAAATAGGAATGTATTGAAAGGGTATCAGAGAGATACCTCAGCATCTTTGCATTGTGTTTAAAGTGTTGTTAAAGAACAGCTGAAGCACGGTAACTGCTTGGAGTTGATTTTCAAAGCTGGTTTGCCTCATATTTTCTGAGGCTGAAAATAAAGAGTTTGCAGGAATAAAATATTGTGCTTCTATGCATCCACATCACGTTCCCATATCATGTTTCTGCAGGTATAAGTTTAAATCTAATTGTTGTTTGGAGTGAGGAATAGTTCTGTAGTCATGTAAATTTTGTGGAATAGCTGATAACTGAAAATCCAGTTTTAGAATGCTTTGCTTTTTCAGCTATGTAACTACAAGTTTCTGTATTTGCAGTTGGACTTGGGAATTAAGTTGTGACTTGTTCAGGACAATCTTTTCTTTTTAGCTGCTTGGCAAACAGTGAGAAAAATAATAAGAAAAAAGGTTGGGAGCAGTGACTGATGAAAGCTTCTAGTTTCCCACTTTACAGATACATAAATGGAGTTCTTGCTTGTAATGAAAACTTGTTTTGTTTATTGCTGATTTTAATTTTTTTTTTATTTTATTTTTGCAGTTGCAAACAATGCCTGTTAGCACAAGGTGCAAGTCCCTTTCCCAGGCTTTTAGGACAGAAGAAAGCAAGTAGCAGGGAATAACTAACAGAGATATGAGTTCCTCAGCATCACCTGACTGGGCCATTGAATGCATGCAAACTAAGAGCGATGGTTCCTGTCAGTTTCTTCTGTCCTTAATTAGTGCCTACCTCAGATCTGTTGCTCATCTTACAGCATTTGTAGAGTTGTTCCAATGTGATAATGAAACAGGTCTGTAACCTTACTCAAAATTAAGTATTTTTTCTATCTGTAAGGATGCTGTAGGAGCTCAGCCCAGGATCGGAAATGGTATAAGGAGATTGAGAAGGGAGAAGGAGGAGTAAAAGCAGCAGCTTCCACTTTAAGTGGAAGCTTAAAAAGCTTAAAGCTTCCGATTTAAGTCCTTTGGAATTGAGTCCTTCATCTTTAGTTTGATTTCATGCTGTTTTCTTTTTATAGTCAATAATTCAATGGGTATGTCTGTTAAATGGTAGTTGAGTTAGTACTTGATAGCAGAGTGTAAAGTGTTGAGAGGTTATATGTTTTTGAGACAAATCATTTTAGTCAAGGAGATGGGATTCCTATATCATCTTTCCACCAGTGTGACTGTGCCTGTGTCTACTGACATAAGAGGGCAGGGCAGTTAACAAAAAGTGCTGGCATTTTACTTTTGGAAATGTGCTTACAGTAACTAGAAACAGCACCTTCAAGAAAATGCTGAAATACCTGTTTGTACAGATACCTCTATTTTTCTCCAGCTGTGTGGTTAGCTTCTTTAATAAAGTCTAATAGTTTAATCATTAACAAAACAAAATTGTCTGAACTCAAACTTGTTTAGGTAATGTTAATGTTAGACTTGATATTTTAACTAAATAGATGCCTTTAAATGAGTTGTACAATTTATGCCACAGTTTTAACAGTAATAAAGTTTCTCTTACAATATATTAGGCCTATTGAATGTGCTGTCAAAATTATAAAATTCCGTTGGAATACAGAGTCTTCAGATATTTCCTTTCTGTCATTCTTTTTCTTGCTGTATGCCATCACGTAAGATTTCAGCTCACCTTCCTAAGTGTTTTAATGTTCTGAGTAATCTCCTGTTAAATTACCATTCCTTGGAATGGAGTCATATGTGACAGGGTGTAGAAAGAACTCATTATAAATTTTTGTTTTACAAAACGAAGCTGATATTCTAAATATATGTATTGTTCCAAAAATAATTCCTACTATTTATTTCCACAGAAACTACAACAGATACAAAAAGCAAACAGCTAACACTGTTTGATGGAGCAAATTCTCAGTTACAAAACTTACAAAACTCAGTTATAGTCTCAACTGTTAGTTGATTTGTAGAGATGTTCTTCATTTCAGGGTAGCTGTGTGGGAACTGTTGATCATATCCTGAACCTCTGATTGACCACCTGAGGCAAAACAATGAGTCAGCTGTGGGAGCGCAGGTGAAGGCAATTCCCCTGTGCTACCAGAAGGGGTGGAGCCTGGCTCCACCTCTCCTAGATCTCATTTAAGTGCTGACTGCCACTGAGGAGGGATCTCTTTCTGGAGATCCCTTCTCATGGAGTTTATTGCGAGCCTGCGACGCTGGTGAGCATTTTCCATTTATTATCTGTTCATCATGATAATCCTACTTAGCCTAGCCTCTGTACGTCTATTTATCATACACTGTGCATGGCCATCCAAAATGTGGCTTGTCTTTAACTGTGTTGTCACCACTGCTGAAATGCACCACTCAGCACCTCACCATGCTCAAATCCACCGTTTGGTCTCCGTTAACGTTCAGCAAGCGTTAATGAATATCAGAGTGCCATTTTTTCCACATGGAGGAATTCAGTTCCACATCTTTGTTTCATAGGCGCTTCCACATCAGACACCGTTCTGTCAGACTGTCTCTCTGCTGCCGTCTGTTACACAGCAACAAATTGTAATGGAACATTGATGAGAAGGTTCAGCCTTCTTTGCTGCTGTATCAGCAACGCTTGCCTCTGATGTTGTAGACCAATGTAATAAAATAGGAGGCATTACTTTTGGTGCAGCCCTCATACAAATGCAGCCCAGTATCTGATGATTCAGTAGCTTCTTTCTATTTCTTGCGTCATGACTATTTGTATTTGTAGTGGGAACTTAGCTAGAGCTTCATTAGAGTTCTCATGAGATGCTAGGCTCCCCGTAGTTCTTTTGCTCTGCGTGTTTTTTGTGAGGTGGTATATTCAAGCAATTGTGACTTAAAAGCTGTTCTCCTGAAGTTACTGGTTATGTTAGTCACTAACCATATCTTTTCTGAGGGTTCAATTAACCACTGAAATTCTGCAGTTTAAAACATTCAGCTCTAATTTCTCCCAAATGTAGTCACTTTTATGAAAGCTCGAATCTTTATTAAAAGAAGCAGCCTTGAGTGAAAGTTGTGGTTTATTTAATTTTCAACATAAGAACAGTTAAATAATAAGATGATTTCCATGATTTTGTTGTAGTGACAACTGTGTGTTAAAATATGTAAACAACTTTTCAAGAGATACCAATATATTTCTAAACAGTGTGTTCTGTTCTATCTTATTTCTGTATTTTCATGCTTTTCATGACAAGTTTACAGTTAAAGGTAATCAGTTCATAGGGTTGTCATTGCTCTAACTTTAAAAGTATTTAGTAGTACCACGACTTCTAATATTTTATTTTCAAATTAGCTGTCTTCCAATAAGTTTTTGTGTAACTTGTGTAAAAAGCTGAACAGATCCCCCTGTAGTGGAGCAGATGAAGGAGAGAAGTAAAACTTTGAATGAAGTTGAACAAAAATTGCCTTGCATGTTAACATAAGGTTAATTTAGTCAGTGTACGTTCAGTAAAGCTAGGATTAACAGTGTAAACCAGTGCTGTAGGAAGATGGCTACTATGTATTCTGAGCAGTTACCAATATGCAGTGTTTAGTATAATACCGGAATACTTTGGTCCCTTGGATTGCATATCACAATCAAATAGATTTGTGAATATTGGTATGCTTTCTATGTTCTGTGTGATTTTGCTGTTTATTGTTGGTTGTTTTGGCTTTGGCAAATGGTTATAGAAGTATAATTGATAAACATTGTGCATGTAGTATTGTGAGCTGGGATTATTTAATGAAAAATAACTTTGCTCCTCCACCTTCTCTTCTTTCCTCCAAAAAAGAAGCTAAACAGCAATCTAGTATCTGTAGTTTTTAAATCTAATTATAGACTCTTACAGATCTATTAATTTTATTTTTTTTTTCCTCCTAGGTTTAAAGAAAACCGTAAAGATGATATTTGGCTTGTAGATGTGAGTATAGAAGGAAAAATTGGAAGAGTTGTCCATTATTTCACACCGAGCTAGTGGAACACAAAACACAAAACACAAATGTACACTGTGTAGTGGGGCTGCTTCATCATTTGGAAAAACATTTGTATGTGGTGCAGAGAAGTTACATGACTAGTTCATTTGATAGGGTGGATACGCAGTTGTCCTCCGTTGTTCAGGATGAACCTGAGTTCTGAATACAGACAGTGTTCAACCTACATTTTACAGTCCTTGAAAATGGAAAGCAGATTATCTAACACTTGCAATGAAGAGGTTATAACTTGCACACAGGATTTTTTTTACAATTCTATCAACTAATTTTTGCTATACATTTAGCATCGAATACATGAAATGGTCCATTCTTTCCAATGTATTTGGAAAGGAATATGATACTTTTCAGTAGGGTAAACCATTTCAAGTTGGTTTTTGTCTTCCTGCACATTACTGTCAGCTTGCAGCATGATCATGTTTCTAAAACGTTGGAATCTTCTCTGTTAATTTTAGTGAGACATTATAGCAAGATAGGCAGGAAGATAAAATAGTTTCACGTTTCTGACCTTGACAAAAATGGAATTGATTTTAGACCGTGTTTGTATAAAAGTCACTTCTTGAAAAACCGAGATGCAGAGAATAGCTTTAGAAGTATGTGTGCACGTGTGTATATATGTACATATATATACAATCTCCTTTTCAAAGAATAATATATATATTTTTGCAAATTAAAATGTGTATTCCTGGATTAAAAGTTTTCACTTTCAAAAAAAAAAAAAACAAACAAAAAACAAAAAAAACCCAAAACCAAACAAACAAACAAAAAAAAACCCAACCAAATGAAAGTACTTTGAGAGGTTTTTAATGTGTTGCTACACAATCTGTTGGGGGGAAAAAAAGGTATAATTGTGCTACAACTGAGTACATTCTTCTATAACTCCTGCTTTCGTATTAAATTAGTACCAAATCTTAAAAGCTCAGTTTATCACTCCACCTTTGTAAGTAACTGTCAGGTTTATTTTCATACAACTTGAAGAAGAACAAAGTTGCGAAATAAACCTTACTAATGTATCTATGTATCTGACTTGAATTCAATGTATTTGTATCTTCTCAGTTTTATGCACCATGGTGTGGCCACTGCAAGAAATTAGAGCCTGTGTGGAATGAAGTGGGTATAGAAATGAAAAACATGGGCTCTCCAGTAAGAGTTGGGAAGATGGATGCAACTTCCTTCTCTAGTAAGTAAGGTTTGAACGGAGATAATTTCCTAACGGCTTCAAAACAGAAGCTGTTCTTACTTTGTTTTCATTAGTCATTCTATTGTTCTATAAGAAATTCATGTAAAAACAGTTGCTGGGAAACCATCTCCTGATTTTTGTTTCTGAAAGTGACAACATGCTGTATGTACTTTTTTATTGTACTTACTGCTGGTTGTGTGGAGATTTCTTAGCAAATGGAAGGTGAAAGCTTTTAACATATATCCCTTTTGATATACTTAGAATACCTTTATACAAGTGTTTTGGAGTAGTGCTTCTCTTGACAACATTCAATTTAACCACATTTTATGTTCCCTGTATTACTGTTGGACAAATGTTTGTGTTCTTGCTGTTATTCTTTTTAGGTAATTACTCCTTGAAACGTTAAATCAAAAACCAACTGAAATCGCTGAAGTCATTATGTTAATGCTGAGCCAGTTTCTCCCCATGTTTCTCTATATGTATTCTTGAAGAACCAGTTTGAGCTATATTAATGCTTTTATTTTTGAAGATACTTTTCATATGTACAGACCCTAGAGTGTTTTCAGGAATAGAAACATACAAAATTTGAGGTGTTCAGAGAAGTAGTTTTGGCAGACATGAGAGACTTTTAACCTGTTTAATACTATTTTCTTAGTTTTAGTGTGCTTGTCTCTTGTCATTTCACTTAAATCTGTAAGGGAAGGCATAGGGAACAGTAGGGTCCATGTGATGTCTGTGTGCAATTAAAACCAAGTATTCAGGACACTTTATATTTGCATAGCATTTTAAACAGTTTCTTTGGTGAAGGTTGAGTTTCTTCATACTTAGTATAACAAGTGAAGTACATATATGTTGCAGAAAAGAGTATGGAGATTGTGTGTAACTAGTTTTGTGTTTCTAATAGGAACATTAAGCAACATGAGAAGTCTGAATTTTTGATGGCTTGCCATCAGAATGTTTTGGTGGAAACTGTATAGAACATCTAATAAATGCAGTGGTTATACTAACAGAACTGTTACCTGGTGTATCAGTTGAATTTTTGTGCAAGTTTGCCTTAAAGTCCACTGAATGCGATGAAAGCAGAAATAAATTGCACTTAGTGCTAGCATAATTGGTGCTATTTGCCTGTGTAATGTTCTTTGTATCAACAAGTGACACTGGTCCTGTAAATAAATCACTTGAGAGGATTTCAGTAATCTCCATGGATGAGATGTTTTTAAAAACAAAACAGAAAAACAACCTGCCTATTCTGCAGTTTTCTTGAATGTACTACAGAGTTCTGCGAGGAAAAATAAGCTGTCTAGTGAAAGTCTTAGTGATTGAACATATTAGCACACATCTGAACAGATTCTAGTTTTTAATAAAAGAAACATAAGAGGAAGAGATCAAAATCAAGTGAGCATAGAACACGTGTTTCTTAGATCAGTCTGCTCTGAGTGAGATGCTAGTATGTGAACTGCTACTTTTATTGACAGGTCTGTACAACTCGTGTTGATTACAACAAACAATTTTAGAGTGACACATTCTAAACTGTTATTCAGAGCCCTGTGCTCAGTCCTCCTACATGTGTTACTGTGTCATGTGGTTGGTAGCTTAAGAATGTTCGTGTATTAAAATGTTTTGGTGCATTTTTAGCTCTTCTTTTCTTCCCCACCCTGTCAAGGGACTGCAGAGGCATTATCAAAAGTTTAGGCTTATTCTAGATTTTTCTTCTTTAAGGAATATTTATTTTAACTTCTGGGAAACACTGAATTATCTTGAAGATATTGTTAAGGTGGCAGTTGCTACATTCACAACGGTAAAGCATGTTCCAGTATCAAGATACAACCTTTTGAGCAAATGTGAGGCAGGGTGGGATGGATGGATGGATGTTTACAGACCCTACATCCATGATGCTTAATTCTTACCTCAAATATTTCCAGCTGGTTCTATGTGTGATTCACGTTAAATGCATAATACCTTGTAGAGAAAATTGACTGAACATTTATGTTTAGAGATGCCAGTTTACTTCTAGCATCTAAATCAGGAGCCTCTGCATTTATTTATGTGCCTTGAATAGGAAATTACTTAAACCTTAAGGTGGGCAAGTGAACAAGACTTGGTTCAGTTTGGCATTAATGCATATATTTCAGGTATTGCATCTGAATTCGGAGTGCGAGGCTATCCAACAATTAAGCTGTAAGTTGATGTTTCTCACTGAATTATTTTGAACTTGACCTTTCCCAACATTCATTTGATAAGTGCAAAAGGTAGTTTTCCATTTTGAAAAACAACAAAGCAAACAGAAAACGTTATCTTAATTGTTTAAAAAAAATAGCGTAGTAATTTTGGAATTCATTTCACTTCTGTCTTATATATGCAACTTTAAAAGTGTGTGTATGCATTTATATGAAATATAGAAAGGAATTTCATGTACCAACTGATCTGAAGTCTTGAGAATGATCCAGGCGGTAACTGCATACCTAAGTCTTTCCATTGACTTCTCTAAGGTATTAATTTTGCTTTCTTATTTTCAATTGCCCTTCTTTTCTCTCCAGTGATTTTCCTGAAAATCTTATGTAAGTGACACTGGTGGTTATTGGGTTACTGTATAGGTTAAAGTGTGAGAGCAGCTGTTTGACAAAGGATGCACATGTAGCTTTTGTTCTTGCATCGCTAACTGTGAAAAATTAATGGAGGTTAACATTTAAGGAAAGGAAAAAAAAATCCAAGCTGTAATGGTATCATACATACTCTTAAGATATATAGTGCGTAGTCCAATACAAGGTCATATTAAATAGTAATGTTGATCACTTTTCACTGATTATATAGGAGTTGTTCACAGCATATACTTGTTCAAGGGTAAGATTCACTATATATATAAAATTTTTAATTTACGTTTCTCAAAAATGACTCAAATATTGAGCATATTAATTGTTAGGGATAATAAATTTATTGGCATATAGAGGCATAGAAAGTTGTTTTAAGATTACTTTCTTCACACGGGCTTCCTAAACTTGGATTCAAAGGAAGGCTGTTACAATGTAGTAAACTTTAATTAAATACACGTGTGCCAGGAAGGTACAAGAAATTGACAAGTACTTTGTGGAATCTTTGGTGCATACATTTAGAAAGTTTTGCAAATCATTTGGTACTTCCCAATTACTAAAAAGAAGAAAAAAGACATTTTAGATTTGTTTTAGCTGTTTTGAATTTATTAGCAAATATTCCTAGCAACTTCTGTATTTATGATTGCTACACACTACAAAAAAAAAAAAAAAAAACAAAATAATTGTTTTTAGATGTAATTATTAGATATTGTATAAATAGGTTTTTACTCCATAACTACACTGTATTGCATTTTTCTATTTTTCTGATTTTTTTTTATATTTTTGCTAATTGCTTGTTGATTAATATTTTAAAAATAATTTTGATTATCATTTGCTAACAAGTGACTAGTAAACGTTTGAGTAATTCTGTGTATGTGGATAAAACTTATTTGATTTTAATTTTGTTCTTCAGAATCTGTGGCTTCTTAATGTCAGCTAATTCTTTCCTCCTTGTTGTTTTTTCTTCCTTTCCCATTCATCCAGCTTAAAAGGTGACTTGGCATACAATTATAGAGGACCTAGGACCAAAGATGATATAATTGAATTCGCTAATAGAGTAGCAGGGTAAGTACATAATTTTTTGAGACTGCTTCTGACTTAATATTTCCAAAATATTTTGCATTGGGCCAAAAATGCAACTGATCAAAAAAATGATAATAAAAATACCTTGACTTTAAAAGTTAGACACAATGCATGTGGTTGCCTGTGAGCTTGGTGGTGAGTGACATGGAGAAGACAAATAGGAACCGACTAGTCGCACTTATAATTCTTTATCATGCAAGATGTAGGGCTTTTCAAAACTGTGGACAAACAAAATTCATAGGAGCTATAGACAAAAATATTGACATAAATGTGGATTAATATATGGACATTGTTACGAAGACAGAATCTGCTTCATACTCCAAGTTTCCTTAATCTGTAAAATATATGCTTGTGCATCAGCAAGCTGTGGCAGTTAGCAACATGAGGAAATTATTTCTACAGAATTGTTCAAAACGTTTTTTGATATTCATAATTTCTTCTTTTCTTCTGGTAGCCCATGGCCTCCAAATCTTTGAGTAGAAAAGAAATGGCACTTCTTCCTTTCATCCTTAGATACAATTAAGTGATATAGACATATAATACTTATTACATGAAGTTGTTGATAATTCTGTAGTGTAAGAGTGTCAGTGATCTAATAGCTTACTAAAATTTTTAAAGAATATTTTCAAAACCACACCATCTTTCTTCTCTCAAATGATTGTACAGCTGGTAAGTGGCTTGAATATTAACATTGTAGCAACATTTTGTTCTAAGATGCTAGTCTAAAATGTAAGTTTATTATTTAGGAAACATAGTTTATTTTGAGAGACAGGATTTTTATTTTCTTTTTCTGATAGAAATTGAAAAACTGGATAAATTTGGGTTGAGGAATTTGGGAAACCAAACTACCTGTATGGCATTTTCTTTGGGGATTTCTACTTGTGATTTGGCAGACTAAGGTTTTTATCTTCTTTCTTTTTTTCCAGACCTCTTATCAGGCCACTTCCTAGCCAGCATATGTTTGAGCATGTGCGAAAGAGGCATCGTGTATTTTTTGTATATGTTGGTGGGGAATCTCCTTTAAAGGTTTGAAACTAGATTAAATTTATTTAAAAAGTTATTTCTTATGACTCTCCGCAGACATACTGTAAAATAACTTCTAGAAAGTTCAAAGACTAGAAGTGGTTTTTATAATCTTGTGTCCCAACCCTATTTCCTGATGAATCTTTTGAAGATAAGGTATGTTGCAAAACTTTAAAGCATCCCAGAAGCTGAACCATTCAAAAAAAATTTTTTTTTTATTTTTGCAGGAAAAATACATTGAAGTTGCTTCAGAACTAATTGTTTATACATACTTTTTTTCTGCCTCAGAAGATGTGCTCCCTGAGGTAAGCTGTTCAGTTCCGATGTCCGTAAAAATGTTCTTTTGGTTGTTTTGGAGGCATAGAGATGGCTTCCTGCAATACATCTGTCTTTGGTAGGTTTCAAATAATTTCACTGTGAAGTTTTTGAGTCTACATGCTTTGTGTTAACAAAATGACTTGCTCAGTAATATTAATAAACTGATTAAATCATGTTGATAAAATTTTAAAGACATGTTCAGCCCACATTGAATTCTGCATAACCAGCTCAAGAATATGCATGTTTCCATTTTTATCCATTACAAAGCTCTTGTTGCTCCTGATAAACTTTTCACCAGCCAATTGGTTCATCTGTCTTATAGCATGGATACCATAGTATCAGGAGCTTTAGTGAAAAGATAAGTTCTTTCCAGCTTGTGTGATACAGCTGATTGTCTGTCCATGTATCAACCAGCCTAGTCTGCTGGCTGCAGAATCCTGCTGTACTCTTGAATGTGAGAGAGATGTTATATAATTGAAAGGAAGTCATTTGCATTTAGTCAAAAAGGTGAAAAGTTTCTAACTATTGTTGCTTAACTATTGAAGTGACATCTCTCTTACAAGGGAAGGCAGAAGGATCTGGGTCTCTTTAGTTTGGACGTTACTGAGGAGTGACTTCATTAATGTTTATAAATATGTAAAGCGTGAATGTCACGAGAATGGAGCCAGGCTCTTCTTAGTTACATCCAGTGATAGAGCATGGGGCAATGGGTGCAAGCTGGACACAGGAGGTTGCACGTAAATATGAGAAAAAACTTTACAGCGAGGGTGACAGGACACTGGAACGTGGCTGCCCGAAGAGGTTGTAGGGTCTCCTTTTTTAGAGACATTCAAAACCTTCCTGGATGCGTTCCTGTGTGACCTGATCTAGATGTTCCCCCTCTAGCAAGGAACGGTTTACAGTTTAGCTGCTACTGACCAAGAATGCAAAAGGTTGGAACTCTTTCTATGATGTAAGCAATGAACTGTTCTTTCTACCCAGTGTAATTTGCTACAAATGTTGCATCATTGTAACTGAAGTAGTGACTGTACACTGTTTCTTTCCAGAGTAGCAAAAATGTTACAAAGTAACTGGTTGCTACTTGTAATGAGGCTTTTCACGATGAGATGTGATATTAACTGATCAGCTTTGTTTTGTGGTTTTACACCTAAAGCTTGAAATAAGATTAGTTATGTTGTAAGCCATGAGGTGGACATAGGCTGATTTGAGCTTTAAAAATGCTGAACTATGCTTGTGGTGAATAAAAGAATAAAGCATTATCTAGAATTAATCTTCTTGATCATGTGTATGAGCTCTTACATTAGAAACCCACTGATTTTGCATTTCTTTCTGAGATAACACAATGATTACAGTAGGCATGTTATTTGGAGAAGTACTCATTATACTGTTCTTATGTTTCCCCAAACCATAAATAAATTAGAGAAACGATTCAACATCATCATCAGGACTAAAAATATGATAGTCTTTTATTAATCACAGGTTCTATTCTATAATTCTAAATTCTAAAATTTTAACTAATGATAGCTAACAGAAAGGAGTACATGCAGTGCTTTTTGTTTCATTTTATTGAGTTGACTTACTGTGACTGTTAACTTTATCTTTACAAGATTTTTATACTTTGTGTATTCTTGAGTATATTGCTGACCAAATGAATCTTAATAGCATGTTCAGGATGGTGATGTATGCGTTCATTGTTCTGTATGCTTACATGAGGGGCATTTGCAGGCTTGTCTTCTGGAATATCTGCATTTCCATCAGTTTGAACACAGAAAATGGCCCTGATTTAGTGGGGCATATTATCAATATAATACTCTTCAAGTGTTCTGTTACTGACTGTCCATTCAGTAAAAGTTTCTGTATGGCAGCTACGCTGACAACAGCACAAATTGAAAACAGAATAGTGCAAGCTTGATGATATTCTCAAGTTATGACCTATTTAAAGTGCATGTCAAATTTTAGTAAAACTTTGATTGTACTTTAGATACATGTAAAAATGCTGTTTGGTTTATATTTTATGAGGCCTACCTGTTGAGAATAGTTTTATGTTTTCTTGCTTGTTAATATTGCAGAAGATAGAATGCTTATTTTTAACAATGTAGGCAGAATGTGTTTAAATGTACTTGAATATTTTCCCCGTGGAGTATTTTTCCACACTTCAAAGATGTTTATTAAAAAATTGGAAGTTTTTTTTTTTAATGGATTAACCAAAGAATATCTTTCTTTCAGTATCTGACCTTGCCTGAACTACCTGCTGTTGTTGTATTCAAAGATGGAACTTACTTTGTGTATGATGGTAAGTAAAAGTGTACATTACTTTAAAAGAAGACTCTAAAAGCAAATGTGGAGAAACTAGAGCCAGTGGGGCTGCTTATTTCAAGGCAAGATGGAACAGTGGGAAATGCACCAATAATTTTGTGATAAATAACAGCTCTTTCATGGCAGCATAGGGAAAAGTTTGATTACTTACAGAATAAAATACATCATTGGAGGAATTGTCTTTATCAGTACTGATGTTGAAGTTAAGAAAGTTTACTTCATGTTAATCACTGAGATGCAGCTTCCAGTAGTATTGTTTTGCCTGAACCAAAGCAATTAAATATTCTTCCTTCACTCACTGTTCAAATCAGAAAGTAGAAGAAAACTTGCTGAAGAGGTGTCACCCATTAACATAAGCTTTGGGGGAATCCAGATACAGTGAACAAGAATTTTCATTTCTGATAGATGACTTTTATTGTACAAAATATATACTAACGTTTCAAAAATGAGAGCGAGGTACTGCTTGACATATTAATAATTCTGTTTTCTCACATTGCCCCCAGAAAATGGGGGGGAAAAAATGGTATTTTCACACAATGTGTATTCAACTTTCAGCATTTTTTGTGTTTTTAGAATATGAAGATGGCGATCTGTCATCCTGGATAAATCGAGAAAGATTTCAAGGTTATCTTACTGTAGATGGTTTTACATTGTATGAACTTGGAGATACAGGTGAGATGTTGCTATGTTTGAACAGTTGTCTCTAAAATTAAACATTAAGAAAAAGCAAAGAAGAGTAAGAAAGGATACTTTTTATGAAACAAAACAAACGAAACCCTACTTAATCTGAAAGTTGAGTTGATGATGTCCAATTAACTTCAAAAACAGGAGACATTTTATATGTACTAGAGGCTTCATCCAAAGCCTGTGCTAGACCCTTAATAACAGCATTAAAAAAAAAAAGTATGTCTAATTTTGTAGTATTCACAAAAACTAAGCAAGGCTTTCAATTTAATAATAATTTAGGTTTTTTATAAATCATAAATTCTTGAAAAACCATCAGAATTTTAGAAACAGATTTTGAAATGTCAGATATGGATGGACTTATTCAGGTAAGTATTTTATATAAGTTTCTCAGATAGTAGCTAATTCAAGTATCTTTAGAGGAGATATGGTGAGGTAGGGAGATGAACGTCTATGGAAATGGACCTGTCCCTGAATACTTCTGTGTTTGGTGAAATTTCTTGGAAGACAAATGAAGACTTTGTATTCAAGTAACTTCAGTTACTTGCTCTTAGAGTATGTATATGCTTAGGAAGCCGTGGATATTCTGTGTTGTTTTTTTTTTTTCCAGGTCAGGGTAAGTTATAATCTACCTCCCATTTAAAAACAAGTTTATACTCGATCCTGCATTGGTTTCTTCAAGGCTCTGAAGATACAGAATGCCTGGATTCCCACATGTTTGTGAAAGTAATGTTATATTTTAAAAAGGCATTTACTGAAGTGCTGTTACAAAAATTTCCAGATATTGGCACGTATTCTATCTGAAAATGCAATTTATTTTTAAATGGCTTTAAGTACTGTATTCCTTTTTTAGGAAAACTTGTGGCTATTGCAGTGATTGATGACAAAAACTCTTCAGTGGAACATACCAGGTACAGAGTTGAGTACCGATGAATGGAAAAATGTGGTGGTATGGTGGAAAAATAATTCATTGACTTATAAAATCTTAATGCATTCTGGAGATTCCTTAAAAATTCAGAAATTCTAGACTAAATGAAAAGTTTTACCTTTAATATTACTCTATTAATAATTAATATTAATAATTAATTAATTAATAATTAATATTTCTCTAGATTGTGACATCATTATTACTTTGTTTATAGCCCTGTTTAAGTCCATATAGTTTTAAAGGGAGACTTTCAATGAGATCACGTGAACAGTGATTGCATAGTTCTTTAAGCTATTGTGTCACCTTAAAATCTTGTGAACTCAAATACCCTCACTTTTCTAATATGGAAAAGAGTACTTAAGTTCAGATGGTTTTGAGATAAATTTATTAGTTTTAAACAAAAGGCTGCTCTTCAGCTGCATTAAAATGAACTTAGTGATGCATAGCTATTAATTGCGTGCAGAACTTAGTAGTTGAAAATACCCTTTCTTAATGTGAGTCAGAATTTGCTGGAGACTGGAAGAACAAGACTTTTCTCTGTTAAATATGCGATTGTATATTTAAGCTGAGAAAATATTGTCCAAGTAGTGTGTTTACTGTTTTGACAAATCATCTTTGGATTTTCTTCAAGGTCACCGTGTCATACATTCAGATGATAATAGATGACGCAAAGCAGTCTGACACTCTTTTTCTCGTATTGAGACTGTATGCTAGCTAGCCTTTCAACCTTTAAAATCAAGAAAGATGAGTATTTTTTTGTTGATTGAGCAGGCAGATATTATTGCTTATGCGATGCTGTTTGCTACTTATTGGAGAAATCTAAATGCTTGAATTTTGACAAAGTATATCTTGGATTAACAGATGTTTTTTGTTGGTTTTTTTTTTTGTCTCCAGACTGAAATCTATTATTCAGGAAGTTGCAAGAGATTATCGGGATCACTTTCACAGGTGTGCACTTTTCTACAATAGCTTCAATGAACTTCTGCATTAACCTTTGTAAGGCAGCAGTTACTTTTGTTTTTTCTACCTGAGAAATGGTATAGTGTTTTTTTGAACCATACACTGACATCAGTTGACTTTCAGTAACTAATTTTGCATAGCTGATTGTGCTGCAGCATTGCTTTTTTTTTTTTTTTTTTTTTTTTTTTTTTTTTTTGCATTATAATGTTGATCATGTACTTCATTTACAAGAAAAGTATTTAGGACAAACTTATTTTAATGCTGAGACATTACTACTTTTTTTTTTTTTTAATAATGTTTTTCATTGCATTTCTTACAGGGATTTTCAGTTTGGCCATATGGATGGAAATGATTACATCAATAGCTTACTAATGGAGTAAGTACATGTGTATTTCATAGAATTGTTTGGGTTGGAAGAGACCTTTAAGATCATCTAGTTCCTACCCTCTGTTATAGGCAGGGACACCCCCACTACACCAGGTTGCTCCCCCATCCAGTCTGGCCTTCGATGCTTCCAGGGTGGGAGCATCCACAACCTCACTGGGCAACTTGTTCTACTATCTCACAACCTACACAGTTAAGAACTTCTTGATGTCTAATCTAAATCTATTCTCTTCCATTTTAGTGTCTTACTGGCCTTATAAAAAATCCCTCCCCAGCTTTCCCATAGGCCCCCTTTAAGTACTGGAAGCCTGCTATAAGGTCTCCTCAGAGCCTCTTCCAGTCTGAAGAGCTCCAGCTCTCTCAGCCTGTCCTCATAGGGCGTGTGCTCTAGTCCCTGTGATCAATGTTGTGGCCCTCTTCTGGATCTGCTCCAACAACTCCGTGTCCTTGTTTTGGAGGCTCCGGAACTGGGCGCTGTATTCCAGATGGTGTTTCACAAAAGCAGAGTGGAGTGTCAGAATCACTTCACTCATCCTGCTAATCACACTTCTGATGCAACCCAGGATGCAGTTGGCCTTCTGGGCTGCAAGCGCACATTGCTGGCTCATGTTGTGTCTTCCATCAGTCAACACTCCAAAATCCTTCTCCTCAGGGCTGCTGTTAAGCCATTCTGTGCCCAACATGTATCTGTGCTTAGGATTGCCCCAACCCAGATGCTGGAGTTTGCACTTGGCCTTGTTGAGTTTAATAAGGTTGGCATGAGCCCACCTCTCAAGCTTGTCCAGGTCCCTCTGGATGGCATCCTTTCGCCCTAGTGTGTCAGAATTTCAGCATTCCTTTTTTTCTCTTGTAGTTGTTGCTATTGTATTTAACTTAAAATAGTCATCTGAAGAATTCCTGCCATTCCTGAATTAAAAAAAAAAAAAAATCACTGTCCTCAGAAATATGTAGCTTTAATTAAACAAATGATACTATAATTTAATTTTAGAGGTTTGTCTTACTGGTAGTGCTGATTGATGGAGTTTATCTTTTAGGTTTACTTAATAAAGTACTCTATTAGAACTGTATGTTGTGTTTTTTTCTCTGTCATTGGTGAAATTTACACAACGCTATCAAAATTAGAAGTTTTATGTTTCCTGGTAGAAATTTGTTCATAATCTAGCCATGTTTGTTTTTGGTTTTTTTTTTTCATTTCTGGAGAGGCATATTTTTTCCTACAAGGGCATTTTCAAAACTGAAGCTTATTGGGATCTTGCTTTATGTGCCCTTACTTTTTTGAAAAGCAGTTGAAGAATAAAGTACAGTATTTGCCAGTGATTGTGTAAGAGATCTTCCTAAGAACAGAGACAGGTATCTATTACCATTTGAAAAGTCAGCTTTGAAATAGCACTTAGCAGACACCATGAATTCATGTTTTCACCATGGATTTGTAGAGCTGAAATGCAGAGATTCATGTATCTGTAGACATGCAGCATGAAATGTGTAAAAGATGCTATCTGCTTGTGGGGTATGTACTTGATACTTTATGAAATATATAAGTAACCTAACAAAATGCTTAATGTTTGTCCTTGTTTTGCAAAGATCTGTCACTAGAGAGTTCGGTTGCTTGGTGTTTACTGTTGACTTGTTCTTGTCTGGCCTTCTAAATGAAGGAAGGGCACAATAGGAATAACTATGCCAGCTTTGTACTGGAGGAGTATTCTGAGTTCCTTTCTTGTTGATCAAAGTGCACACCATGAGCACCTGCAGTAGTCTGCAGTATCCATCTTCCACAGTGTCTGTCTTATATCTGTCTGGTCTTGTAGCTCTTGTGGATGCTAGATCTAAGGCCACAAGATGTCTGCAAGGTCAAGAGTAAGAAAACAAGATAGATGTGCAAATGCTCTAATTTAAAACTGTGCCACTAAAAGTTCTAGGAGATTCATGAGGACTTCAGAAGTACTAGTTATTATTTCTGTGGAATGCCTCTAGATTCAGTTTAGTACCTGAATACAAGTAATCTGAAAACATCTGTCTATCAGTTGGAGTAAAAGTGTGATTATTGTTTCAGTGCTTTCTGGTTGCCAAAAAATGAGACCCCCATTTTTCATTATTTCCTTTCGTGTGTGGTTTTCTCAGTTTGTCTGGCATAAATTTGCTTCATTTTTCTGTTTGGGAGGGTAGGAGAGGTATTTTACTGATGCAACAAAAACCTGTTTTTTTACTCAGCACACTCTGCTGAGCACTGGAATTGATGTGCACAGAAGCTAGGGAGGTAGATGAGTTCCCTGGGATGAATAAAATGAAGGAGAAGAACACGTGTTATTTACAGCATTAGTGATCTGGTAATAATTGTTGGATCTGTTCAGTTGGATTATTTAAACTTAATCTACAAAATGCCTAAATTTATCATTTGTTGTGTATGAAAAGCTGCTGTTGAACTAATTGCAGACTTGTAGTTTATTTCCTAAATGAAACATGCGTTTCCAATATAACTGGAAATCAGCAAAATACATGGAAGAGAAGTATTTGCTGTTTACTTGATTGCCTGAATATTTTGAGTAAAATAATACTGTCAGGCCTGCAATTTTCCACTAGGTGGCAGCAAGTGAAAACAGGTAGAAAAAGCCTCTTGAAACTGGAGAAATCTATTACAGAATGTTTTATTCTTCCAGATGTGCATAACAATAAATACCCTTTCTTGACAAAGGACAAAATAATTCTACCAGTTGTCCCTGTTAGGAATACACTTGCAGACTTAGATGTAGAATCATAGAATGGCTTGAGTTAGAAGAGACCACATGGATCAAAAGTTCCAACTCCCCAGACACAGTCAGGGTCACCAGTCTCCAGGTTTGATACTAGACCATGTAATTCCACTAATAGTGTCATTTATTTCTGTCTTCAGCAATGGAAGAGAATGCTTCTATTGAGTAAAAAAAAATAAATATATGGTACTTAGAAGTGTGCACAAAAGAAGAAAGCAGTGTATTTAAGTATTTCACTGAAACATTCCTCATAATACATATTTGTGAAAGGTGAGGTATAGAACAACATTGTAACATCAACTGAAGGTGTCTGTACATCTTCATTTCTCAGCTCTTTTAATAACCCAACTAAGCATGTGACTTTATGAGTTCCAGGATAGCATATAAATTTTATATATCAGGTTTAATTTTTGGTTGCTTTTCAGACAACTCCAACAATTTAATTACCAAACTGTTAAATGTTTTAACTTTTTGGTGCTTTATTTTTCTGTTATGGGTGGGAAGTGGTTTACACTGCTTAGTATCAATTTCTTTTCCATATCCAAATAGTGAAACTTATTTTGATTATGTCCAGAGTGACGCATTTTGTCAGAAGTTGACAAGTTGTGATCAAGCACTTGATTTGATTGACTCCTTACTTACATTACTTACTTGTTCCTAAGAAATAGAGAATAAAAATGTATAGGAGAAAACTGTATTTAGAAAATCCTCTTCTTAGCTTTCACTGTTGACAAAGCTGGGTTTGTTTTTTTTTTTTTTTTTTTTTTTGAGTACATTCAGAAAGATGATATTATTTTGTTATCTCTAGTAGGTCTTATGTTTTCTGAGGTGCATCGTGGTTCAAACTTGAATTCTAGGAATATGGTCTGAGCCTTAAATCCTAGAGTTTTGTAGGAGCTTAGCGTTTTCATGGATAAATATTAAAGTTACTCAAGGCTAAGTTTGGAATTAAATTTAAAAGATTATTGTACATTTTCTGATACAGTAATTTCTTTGACGTGAAGGAAAATTAGAATTTTGAGTAATTGCTTAGTATTTTTATACTGTTGATTACAGACATTATAGATTATAATAGCCACAGTGAAGGCTGAAATATCATCATTATTACTTGGATTAGAAATAGACATGGGTGAGTCGCTGCTAGAGAAGAGTGAAAATATAGAAAAATGAGGCTTGCATTATCTAGTTTGTAGAAAAATATGCTTGTATAGTGTAAGTTTCTAAACCTGGGCTAAGTTTGAATTTAGTCCTACTTGGAGAAGTAGATTATACTATATTATCTCTGGAGGTGATTTCCAATCTGTTTTTTTCTGATTTGTTGCTCAGTAGTGATTATACATTTGAACATCAGCTAACGAGTAGTAATAGTTTAAAAACTCTAGCTTATTTGTTCTATCTTAAAGGTATGTTAAAAAAAAATATACTGTGTCCTTTTGACTCAATAGGCAAAGGTTGATTGATTAGAGCTGATCAACTGGGATTGAATTCTTGGGTTATAGTTTTGTTTGTGCTCTGTGTTATGCTACTACTGCATTTGTAATGCAAGGCCACTGTCTGAGATCTCTCTCTAATAGGAAAATCACAAGGTACTTTATTTGCAATCACTGTGGGTATGTAACATGCAGTAAGTTTCAGTAGCTTCACTGACACAGACAAGAAGAAAAAGTATTAGTGAGAAACAAGCTTATACCATTACAGTGATTCTCTTTCTTCTTCCTTCTTTTATTTAAGGAACTGGAACTGGTATTTGCAGTGCACATGGAGAAGATTAATGATGTAGAAGTCATTTAAATTGCAATGATGGAGATGATTTTTTTTTTTTTTACATCTAACCTTTTTTATGTTTCCAGTGACTTGACAATTCCTACTATCGTTGTTTTGAATACCTCCAATCAGCAGTATTTTCTACCAGATAGGCACATTGAGAACACAGAAGATATGGTTCAGTTTATTAACAATATCTTGGATGGTACAGCTGAAGTAAGTCTTCATTGCGACTTCAAATATATTGTTGGTGTTCATTTTATAAGAAGTACGAAAATAAAGGTTGCTCTGATTGTCATGTCATATGCTTTATCTTCTTTTGTCTTCTTATCTTGGACACTGTCTATATATGTATGATTCAGAGTTCAGGGTTTTTCTTTGCTCAGATTTCTGATTGCAGAACCCTCTAATAGCAAGCAAATGTAGTTTTATTGTATAGAGCTTATTAAGTTATCTTGGTATTTCTTTTACTGCTGTCACTGATAAATTGAGAGCTTTTAATTCTCTTCCTGATTTCCTTTAAATTTTTTCTGGTGAATGTAACTTGACTCTATGCTTTCTTTTGGGCAATGACTAAATCTATCAGCTTCATGAATGATATGTTCTGATTCAGATTGGTGGTATGCTTCTTTTGCGTGTTTCAGACACGAGCTTGCTCTTCTCTAACTGCTTTTAATGACCGTTTAATAAGCCTAATTAATCCACCCACAGTTGGTGGCTTGGACAATTTTTTTTTTTCATGTTAGTAAAGCAAACTCAAACTTTGCTTATACCCTCAGTTGAGCAAAAGGCTGTGTTTTGGGGATAAGGAAAAGACTGTATCAGAGCTCTCATTTGTGCGCACAGGGCAAAGTGGCCTCTCAGTGAAAGAAGGCAGTGCTGACAAATCATGCTGCCTCCTGGAAGACACCTATGTCCAGTTCACTTTACATTGAATACTTACTGCATTAGTTGAATCTCGCATCACGTTATGCCAACAGTTTTAGGATGCTGAATAGCAATAACAAGTAAAGCTGTAGACTGTTTCAGTCACACAGGATAGTTTAGTTTATTTAGTCTGACAGATTGATATATCAACAACACAATATGGGTGGATTTGCTTGCTGTTAATGACTTTACTGGCTAAGTATCTGAACACAAGGCAAGGGATATTCCAAGTAAATTCTTTAGTTGCATTTTTTTTCTTCAGTTCTCAATTCTTTAATATTTTTAATTGTGCTTGAAAATTCTGAATTATGTTTTTATTAGCATCTTTAGCTTTGTTTAAACATGTTAGCATGTTTAACTTTGCTGATTTCTCTGTTATATTTAAACAGTCTTTGAAGTACAGTGATAAGCTAGTAATAGAATGTAAAGTTTCTGAACCACAGTAAAATTTCTGAGAAATGTGACAATCCCTACCTCCTTTATTTGGAGGGTGTTGGAATATTCACCTTGTTATTCTGTATGGTCTTAGTAGCCTTTGAGTCCTTCATCTCTGTAATTTGCACTTTAGGAGAATTTGGTCAGGATCGCGTTCTGGTCAGTTGATTTTCTCCAAAATGTAGATTCTCATCCTATTTGTTTCTCTGGCATCTTGAGGCAGGTGAAGACTGGCCTTCTTCAACACAAATTAGCTTCAGATTCATCTAGTATTTTGGAAGCTCTGCTAATTCAGGTAGTAATGCAGATAGCCTGATATTGCTGACCGCAAACTATTTTCATTATGCTTGTGTATCTTTCTGTTACTTTTTAGATTTTTTTAACTGCTTCTGTCTTTATCCATAAATAGATATCAATCAACTTAAAAAAGGTTCAGAAGTTCTCTTCAATTTTATAATGGTTACACTGGTTCTTAGTTTTTCTTAGTGTTTCTCTACAGTAGAGATGTTTTAAGAGTGCCAGTTTACTGTTAACGATTTGCTTAAAATAGTTGTGGGAAAATTTTTCTTGAAACTACTGGTATGTATGTCCATGCTAGAAAAGTTGGAGTGTCTGGGCATTGTGAGATGCAAGAATAATTACTTTTCATTTCCTTCTAAAGGGGCTTAAGATTTCAAGGTCTGAAGAATGAACTTTTGGAATCAAAAATGAAAAGTGTCAGCAGTTTTGACATGGTTCCATTTGAAATTTCAGGCGCAAGGTGGTGACGGAGTTCTGCAGCGAATCAAGAGAATAGTCTATGATGCCAAGTCTACTGTAGTGGTAAGTTTTATATTTTGTCACTTAGATAGTGAGGAGCAATGGAAGGCAATGATAATGCCTTGTACTAGGACAGGCGTTTAAAGAGCTATTTAGAAGAAGGAGGCTCATTGTTTCTGGAGACTGGTGACATGTCAAGAAGAGCATCATTTCAGAATAGAGATGCTTCTCCCTCAGCTGCTAATCCATGAATGAGGGTAAGGACCCTGGGTCCATCCTTTCTGATTGCTTGCACCTGAGCTCACTGGCTTATCCATGACTTGTCACCTAGTGCTCAGTCATCGATTCTGATCATGACCTAGCAATTCCCATACAGATGGTAACCTTATCAATCAGGATGCATATGTTTTCATAGATTTTAGAAATATTTTAATCTGTTTGCATATATGCTCACACACATACATGCATTAGGTTTAAGCCTAGTTAACTTCTTGACAGAAGTCTCTAATAACATTTTTTAGTGTGCTAAATATTCAGCATAAAGAGTTTCTTATTTTTTCTCTTGCATTCTGTATTAAAATCTGGTGTACATTTTAAGGGATAGAGCAGAAAGAATTAAAAATGTTTTTCTTAACCCTCTTTTATTCCTTTCATTGAAAGCAGTAACAGAATGTAAAACATTCTGAGGAAAGCTATTTAGGGTGTAAAGAGATTAAATACTATACTTGGTGTGGTTTTAAAACAAATATTTTATCATTCTTCTTGGAGGTTAACGATGCTTAACAGCATTTTATTGGGCAGAAGTACATAATTTTTTTTCTGCTTGTCATACATGAAAAAAAAATCTTTGCTGTGAATTTGAATTCATGTTTGCTAGTTTCTTTATGTGGCTTCCAAACTTCTGTCAGCATGCAGCATTCATGCATCAGTTTCTGAAACCAGAAGTCCTTCCTCTTGTGCAATAAAGTCTTTCAAGCTACTCTTTAATAGGGAGCTCTCTAATAACAAGTGGCTTCTTCAGATCCCTTATGATGACTCAAACTCATTTTTGAGAATGAGACACAAATGAGAGTTTAAACTGGTTGTTTTAAAATATTATTTTAACATTATTAGCACAATGGTTTCTCAAGCTGCAAACAATGGCTAGAATTTGTAGCTAGTATGTTAACATTAATCATCCCACTGGAATATTGCAATATTAACCTAAGACTTTTTCTAAATGAGCTTACAGTTGGAATGGCTAAAATGACTGCTTTGCCCTTCTTAAGAAAACTGACTCAGTTCAGATCTTAGTAAATAAATATGCAGAGTAATAGGTAATGTGGCAACTGTGTATGTTCAGTGGAAGTGATTTTTTTAACTTCAAATCTGTGTTCCAACAGTCAGTGTTCAAGAGTTCACCACTTCTGGGATGCTTTCTCTTTGGGTTGCCCCTGGGTGTCATCAGCATAATGTGTTATGGAATCTGCACAGCTGATACAGATGGAGGTGTAGATGAACATGAGGCAGTTAAAAAGGAAAACAGTGATCGGGAGCTCACAGATGATGGCAGTGAGGAGGAGCAAGAGGAGGAAAAGAACGGGAAGTATGCAGAACTTTCAGATGGAGAGCTTAAACAGAAAGACCTATTGGAAAAGAAAAAAGACTAATGTGTTGAACAAAAAATCTCTAGAATTTCCAAATAGACTAATTTATTGAAGGTAGTCATTTATTGATGATCTTCATGAAAGAGGACCTTTTTGTGTCTGCATTATGGTAGTTTTGACTTGCATGTGTTTAAATTTTCTCAGATATTGACAGGGAAAAGAGCTGAAATAGGGATGTTCTCTCAATTGTCTTTAACAATTATCAAAGGAATATGAAGGAACTTGCAGGTACTTTTGGGGAGGTTTTTAATTGTTTGTTCCTAGAACAATGAGATAATGTTACTTGGCTTTAGTATACCTGATGAACTGATTATAGTACAGCCCAGCCGAACACTCAAAATTAAGGCTGTATACTAAAAAAAATTCAAGAGATCTGTAAATTCTTTCAGAACCTTGATGGTTAAAGACATGTTACAGTTTTTCCAGGAACTCACATGTTTTATTGTTGCACATTATTTTGGAAAAATGATTTTTTGTTACCAAGTTAAATGTAAATTGTTATAAACCAGAGGACTGTTTTATTATGTACTAATGTAATTACTGGCACTCGGGAATATCTCTGTGATATACAATATGTTAGCAGCTAAAAATTATTGGAGAACTACATTTTAAAACTTTTCAAACAAGGTTACATGTTAAATTGTTTTATGCTTACATAACCTTTTATTACAAATGATCATTTGTACTGGAAGTTTTCTGAAACTACAGTACAACTTGATAAAGGATGACACAAGCACTCTATTTTGCCAAAATCCCACATGACAAGCTTTTTGACTGATGTAAACATGTTTACAGTGTTTAGATTGTTACAAGTCTTTGAGGTGGTTTGTGTTGATATTACTATTTGAGACTGTTACCTAGAGAGTTAATGGAGCATAATATTAACTTTCATAAAGATTGATCAGTATAATGCATTTTTATCTGTTTTGTCATAATAGTCACTTCTAATACGATCCTGTGAAAATGACTAGTTTGTGTCCAAGGTTAAAATCTCCAAGGCCGTTAACACTGATTCTATGAAAAGTACCACGCAAACAGAACTTCTGTTGGTATTCATGCTATTTTTTTTTGTTAAAGTAATATTACAATATAATACAGATGAAGTCCTCTGTATAAGGCAGCTAGATCACATAAGAAATTACTGTGCAGTAACTCTAAGTTAAGACATTTTATATGAAGACATTGGTAAACTTAAATAGTCAAGTTTTGTGTTGGAGCAAATGATGATAACATAAAGCATAACTATGGAATATGAATTGCATTCTTTTTGTTATGGGAAGAAAATTTGGGTCTTCGGTTTAAGTAACTTGGTATTAGCCAGTGCTGGTTACAGTACGTAGATGACTGTTATCAGTGTAACAAACAAGGTCTAAAGTTAGGAAATATTTTTCAGGAAAAAAAAAATTGATTTTTAATCAACCCTCTTTTGTTTCAGAACAACAAGAAAATATGAGTTTGTGTAATTCTGAATAGCAGGTGTCAGAAATGCTTTTTTTGCTTTTTGTTTTCTCCTTTTTCCTTTGTGAATTGCATTTTTTTTCCCCTTTTTTCACTATATTTGCATTATATTTGAGCTGGTTGTAAATAGTAAGTTGAGTTATCTTGCTTTTTTAATGTCTGTGTTTTGGTTTCTTTTTCAACATGCAGGATACCTTGAGTTATATTTTTAGCATATACGTGAAGAGTGAGATGCTTAAAATTGTATTTAGAGTTGTCTTTAACATGATTTAGAGATGTTGAGTTGCATTTTAAAACAATCACTCAAGGACAGGCTATAAGTTCCTTTGGAATTCAACATGTCAGTGGTTAGACTATTAATATAGTAAGATGTTTCCTTGATTTGTCTGTTGCCATGAGATTTCAAATACAAATCAATTACATGTTTAATTTTGACTTTGACTGGGGACGTGCAGCTTTTGACTAAAAGGTGGATGTGATCAGTGGAAGGCCACCCTTCATTCTGTAGTGTGTAATTAATAAACCAGCGAAAAACCTGACCAACAAAAGTAAAAAAGAAACCCCATGAATTCTGCTGCATTGCAAACTGTACCTCATTTGTGACTCTTCATTTTTGTGGTTATTTTTTGTTTATAATCAAATATTAGCCCAGTATCTTGCTGAGAAATCTTGTGATACAAAGCTGAAAATGATGAATGCTGTGTAAGAAACACCTCTCACTGGGTTCTGATACAACTGTAACATTCAACTGCTGAAGAAGAAAATGTATCTCAGTCACTTCTGAATTGTAATATTAATCTGATGTGTACTGAGCTATTGAAAATCAAGCCTGAAATGTACTGCTGTTTTCACCACATCCTTTTCTCAGCTATGTTCAACAAGGCACAGGGAAAAGATGAGCATACGAATCACAAGACTGAGTGTAAGAAGTGATACGCAATTACAGGAACTTACTGTGGTCATGCAAATAATTTAGATTGTTGTCAGAGGAGAATCTGTCATTTTATTCTTTTTTCTCAAACCTCTCAAGGTTTCTGAAAGCAACTTCACTGTCATAACCTGTTTTGAATTCATGAAATAATGCTGCTTATTGAATTCAAGTGAAGCCTTTTGTTTTTCTACAATAAAAACACATAATAGTACTTGTCTGCTTTGTTTAATTTATGGTGTGTTGAGGTGCTGCATGTTCTGTAGGAGGCAGCATTTCCTGCAACTTTTGTTGTAAGCATATATTAAGCCTGAGTAACTCAGTTCAGTACTGTAGATGGCAGCTTTTGAAAAAGCTGATGCCTCTTCAGTATTTTGGAGAAGTTCTCCAGTTTTAGGAGTGAAACATTTATTTATACTGCTGGGATACTCACTGAGTAAAACAAATTCCTGAAAGAAGGAATTTTAATTACCAACACATTCCGTTAGCATACTTGCAAATTTCTACAGCAGTTACTGTAGCAAAGGCAACATGAGGTAAATTGTTCTGTAATACTTTTTCTTCTGAAAGAACTTAATTTTGAGTAGTGTTGACATTCGGTTTGAGCTGTCTTAACAGGAACTTTCCACAGTGTGGAGCTCAGTGCTTAAAGGATAGCATGACTACATTTTGATTGATCTAGTGCGTCAAAGACTGCACAGAAAGGCTTCTTTCTCATGAAATGTTTAAGGAAAAGGTTTATCTTGCTCTGTTTTTGGTCCAGAATTAATTTACCCATTTCTCTTTTGTCAGCATATTTGTAGAAGCCCTGCTTGGATGGGTGGAAGGGCGGAGCACTCTGGTGACAATCAAAAGCTCATTACTGAAAAGGGTACCGAAACAAAATGTGCTTCCCTAAAGCTTTCTTAATGTCCAACAAGACTACAGACATTTCAGGTCACATTATGCTGATTCAGTGGTTCTGGTTCTCAAATCTTTTCTGGAAATGCAGCAGCTTTCTGCTTTTTTGTTGTCATCTTGGAATATACTGA